AGTCAGATAACTTGGGCCAGTCAAGATTTTCTCTGTGCTAATAAACTGGAATTAGCCAGAACTCTTTTTACGATGAAACGATTTAATCTAGCGTAATCTGCCATGATTTTTAAGTAGCCGAGATTTAGAGATGTCTCAGTGGTGGCATGGGTTCGTACATTATTTCTGCAAGCAGCCGACGACTTGTTTGCTGCAGAATAACTTGCCGGAGCTTGGCCGTGACAGTCCTACTGTACTGTTAGCTATCAGCACGGTGGAACGCCGCGTGGTCTGTTTTGCGGCTGGGCATCACATACAAACGGTTTGAACTCGGCTGTTCGGTTTGGTGCAGCAACAGGTCTTTGTCCGACTGGCGAGACACAAGGGTGAAGAGAACTCGACCCTTCATGCCACATTCTGTCTGTTTGACATGATCTTATCATCAGGAACGAACAACAACGAAAGCGGTGACGTGGTAAGTGACTGTCACCTACCTTTGTTGCCGTTTCAGTTGTGTGTTGTTTTTTCTCTTCATATGTCCATGGCAACATGTGGGATGAGGCCTGTGAATTTTAGACAGATGGTTTATGCCTCAGATGTGCGCTACAGGGGTCCAGTGAACTGCGCAATCACGGACCCTTCACTGTGTTGTGGCGAGCTTGGTCACAGGTGCTAGAGCTTAGGTTGTATAACATACACAGTTTAACTGTCTACGGTCGTAATTTCGAAGACAGACTAATATTGTCACGTTTAACTCGTCGTTGCGATTTCTTTCGGATTATTTTTCCGTTCAGACGCTTAGCATGATGTAATGTTCACTGTGGAAAGGGGGAGCTGCCACTCGAAGAAACTAAAGCAGCTTACTTTCCTATGCAGAGCGTATGTACGATTACATCCTTCCATCTTCTGCAGTTGGATACAATGCATGGTTACGAATATTGTCACTACTGTATCTACTAGGTTTTTATAGCTCCCCTTGAACATCGTCAGACTGAGCTATGCCAGGGTCGTCATCCGTCCGTCCGGTCCGGTCGTCATTTCGCTACGGTCACGATTACTCAGGAACCGTTTTGGCCACATGTTTGAATTGCGGTAGAGTTGTTGATTGCTAGGCTCCCATATTAACCGTCCTATTTGAGCTGCTAGTTCTTACGTACTTTTTGAGCCACGGCATTTTTTTGGCAAAATGGCGAATTGCATTAGTCAGTTCAGGCTTCAACGCGATTTTGCTAATTTTTGCGTATGGTGAATGAATAAGGGCTAGGGGTTTTTGATATAAAAAAAATTATGAAATTAGGTAGGGTTTAAGGCAATTTATTAGCATATTATATAGACACAACGTCTGTTGGGATCACACTCGTCTGGTTCGTTTTACAAGATTTCAATGACATATTTTATGCAAGATTGGTTTAGTTCCTCTGCCATCCTGCCCGATAACATCTAGGTAAAGTTTTACAACAGTTTGGGAACCAGCATAACCTATTTATTTCAAAAGCATCGTACAAGCGGTTATACGCCAGGCTACAGTCACAAATCTGTGATTCATTTTGGTTTATAATTATTATTGGCGATATACAGATGCAATCGTTTTTATTAGATGTACGTCGATGTGTTGCTCAGTTAACTGATTCTTTTACTCAAGCATTTGTGTCCCTTTTGTGGTTGCGTACTAGTGTCATTGCACTTTTATTTAAACTATTCGCCACTGTAATTTTTGATGAGTCATTTATTGCTTGGACTTTATGAACAGATATGAATGTGATGTCAGTTATTCTAATGTGTTATGGTATTTTGCGATGTCGTTTAAATATCATAGAATGATGGATACTGGATCCATGACAAATACCTGATTATTAATAGTAGGTCGTCAGTAACGTAACAATCGTTGAGTTGAGCAGTGACGGGAATTTGCACCCCGTGGCACTTTGTTGGCACTTTTGTGTGTAAATTGTTAGGCGGTCGTGCCGCGGGCTAGGCCGTCTGTGATCCGTTGAGAAGTTGAGAATCGCTATGGTTCTGATGAGAAGTGGTGTCGCGTGAACAGGAGGCAGACATGGGGGTAAACCTCCATTCCATCACGTCCGGTGAGACATGATGTCATTATAGCCTAGTAAGCTCCGTGTGTACTTCAATACAGTGCAGGTATTTCTCTCTCTCTGTGTCTTATATATGTTTTGTCACGAGAGGCTTTCTATAGGATATAGTCGTGGTATATTTGTTGAAATTTTATTCTGTCGGATAACCAGCGAGCTAACATTGTCCCGATTTCAGTTTGTGGATTTATCATTTGTTTGCAGACTAAAGCGATTATCCGAATCTCCGAGTCGTTAGCTAAAAATGGGTCTTGCAGGCATTGCTAACGGAAGCTGCATGTGGAAGAGGCCGTTGAAGGTATATTCAGGTGTTCACCTTGATTGCCGCCATGCTTATGAAATCTATGGTAAGAGTGACGGAGATTATATCGTACTCGCGAAAAGCTTAGAGAAACGTTTCGATGCATACCCGATTTTAAAATTACACTGCGCACATAAACAAGCTTTCTCGTTAATCAGCGCTAATTGTGTATTCTGCACAACAGCAAAAGTTATTATTTAAATGGATTATTATTTGTTGGCTTTAAAACCACACACGCCACTAGTTAAGGTTTTTTAGTTCTTACATTGGCTCTTCTTCTCAACCTTGACTTAGTTGTTGTAAATTAAGCTCTCAATAATCAACTCCGTATTCTAAGAGATTCGTCTCTTCGCATGGCGCGAGCATCGGCTGGTTTTCTTTGGTTATGTTTGCGGGAGGTTATAGTGCGTTAAGGCATGCTACCAATAGCATTCGGTTCTTGAGAGCAGGTGTCAGAGTACTTTTTTTGCCGCCGCTAGTACAATCTGGTGTCCGCCTGGGACTGCGAGAGAATCTAGTCGCATTCTAAAGTCGGGCTGTGAATTCGACTGAATTGGTCTAAATACTACAGCGTGTATTGGCGCATAGCTGCAGCGCTTTCATTTTTTAAGCGGAGCGCGATCGCGCTCGCGCTCACGCGCACCATAATTGTGCCATGGTGCGCCACATCATCGGCGCCTCATAAAAGTGCGTTGAATCGCGCACCAAAGTCTGTGTATTATGTTTGAATAGCGCTGCGGCTGCATAGAGTTCTCAATGTAGGGGGCGTACAAAAAGGTTAGCACACACAACATTTGTGGTGGTTAGTGACTGAACGCTATGGCAGAGGTACAGGTCTGGTTTACTACCTCACAGTGGAGTGTATGCAGGGGGGGGTCGTGGAGAGAGTCGTACGACCCCCAAAATTTTAAAAGGTCCACATTTTTGCAAAGACATTTTTTTTTCGAGGCCTTTTTCACTAATGACATATGAAAAAGCATCAGGTACAGGCAATAGGCAAAGACATTTGCATTGGTTGAGCGTAATCGTTATCCCAATTCAGCAATTCTGATGAGCCTTTTTTGTAACAAGCACAAGATAAGACAAAAGTTCAAAAACTGTTTTCAACTGAGTCAGACTTTTTTTTTTAAACTAATAATTTTTTTTGAATTTTTGTTTTGTTGTTAAATTAAATTGTCAGGGTCGATGTACCGGTCGTGTCGGCCCCTGCTTCGCGCAGAAATGCACTCTAGAGGAGGTGCTATTTCAAAATTTTCTGGGGGAGGGCCCCACACCCCCTTCAGCCGTGCTCCAAGTTTGGCGTTACGTTAAGACCCCCCCCCTGGTACAATCCTGTAACTCGCCCCTGATTGTATTGACCTTGTTAATCAATATTGCTGCCTATTCATTGTGAAACGGTCGCAAAATTATGCATCACGAACCCACCAGAAAAAATCCCTGGATGACCCCTGTACCTCTTGGTTTATAGATATATAAATACAATAACAACAGCATCAATCAGGTACCTATACGGTACGCACAAGTTATCTGCCTCGTGTTCTACATTACGTGGCGAGAAGTGGTTTTCTGCCGACGTGATCAGTCGTAGGGCGGAGGGTACATACGTGGCTCTTACGTCAAGTAATTTGCTTAGTTTGTGATGGATTGTGATGATTTACCTTGTTGCTGAAAATATGCGAGCTACATGATAGAATCTTAACGATGGAAATCAGCATAAGTAAAACAAGTTTATTTTTACATCGATCAATCTCTTTTATTATCTGTGTTGCTAGTGTTGGCTGTTTGTTTGGATGAATAGATGTATCTGACGACAGCCATTGAATGAATGAAGGTGAAGCGATGAATGATAATCGTAGTTTACAGAATCCAATTTTCGTTTTGAGATTTCACTCTAGGACTGGGATTGTCCTGATTCATAATCAAGCCAGAGGCATGGATGGGAGAGCCTCAAGGAGCTCTCCATCATCCTTTTATAGGTGTGATTTTAGTGGAGCTCTCCATCATGCTCTTAAGGCGTGTGATTTTTTAGTGGAGCTCTCCATCATGACTCTTAAGGGTGTGATTATGCAGAGCGGTGCAAAAGTCCCCTATGGTGTCTAGCGGGAGTCATTAGCTGTCCTCCTGTACTTTTCAAATCTGACAGCTGGCAGTATGATAATTATATGCATTTCGATATTATTCATATTCGATAACTGTAATCTTTAAGTGATAATCAAATAATATATAATAATAATGATGATCGGACGATGTTTGCTTCACATCAGGGGCTGAGGCTTCACGATCTCAGAGCACAGAGATGACTGAGATGCTCGCAAAAGCAGTGAAGCGGAGATTCCGCGATCGGTCACAGTCTCGAGCACAGCATCTGCAGGATTTCTCAAGCAGGTAAAGCGCGGGTTTCTTATCTGTGTCCATAGGACCCTTTGGGGTCCGTGGATGGGTCTTTCAGGGGTGGGGGGGAGCCATGAAGTGGATTGGGGGGGCTTCAGGGCGGCATATGAACAGGGATGGGTTCAGAGGGGTCCAGTGACGTGAATGTGGCTTCGGGCGGTCTTGAAACAGGGCTCTGAAACATTTTTGTGTTTGTGCTTTATGTGCATTTTTGGGGGAGGGTCCGTAGCGTTCACCGGGATTTCTCGCTTGGAGTCCATGGACGTTAAAAAAGGTTAAAACCGGTTAGAGGTAGTAGATGGGGACTGTAGATGCACGTACATCACGAATCGGATGTCGAATTGCCGATTGTCTTCCCTCGATCGATACCTCGTATTTTCTGCGTATTTTCGATCTTCGATACGCCGCTCGTTTTGTAGATGTACTTGCATCGGCGAAGCGTGTATGAGACGCGCTCTCTTGATTGCGTCAATAGTCACGATTGGCATCCTTTTTAGTGGCTAATCGGTAGGCCGGTTATAGAAGCCAATGCATTTTGTATTCATGTTATGGTGTCACGGGCATTGCTATGTGCGAGAGTCCGTAACATTGCGACGAAAGGTTTGGCCGGTGATATTTCGGTGCTGTCTACGGTGTTTTCGACACTGACGTGACGGGCGAAGCAGGATAATCTCATTGCTTCAGTGATTACTAGTGAGGCTGTGTCGTTACAGAATTACCGAACAAAGTATTACAATGCGTGTTCAGATATGCTCCGCAGAGTGAGATCCAGCATCGAATGAAGAGAAAGATGCTGCACTACAGAAATGAGTAACAAGTTACGAGTATCATTCGCAACAGATGTCACCACTGTACATTCTGCTAGAGCACTCCGACAGATTTGCCGCTCTCGCTCTGGCTGCCGCAATTCTACACTGAACAAGCTGATTCATGTAGAATTCGTTACGGCTTTTTTTCTTATCAGTTTATACGCGACCCCGTTACCCTGTTCCGATTTAATCGGTGTTATTATAAAAACTGGCAAAGATTGATAAAATCGACTCCATTATTTCATGAGAAATTTGATAAAGTGCTACGAAATAGTTGCAGACCCATTACTCCTTTTCAATCATTACGCATGATTTACGTAACACTATGTTCAGTATTTATTCATGATTTTTGGACGATGCTTGCAATATACTTACTTCTCGAAACATTGTCTTTGATCGTTTTGCGTAGATTCAGCTTAAAACTTAATTTGTCCATCAACAAATCATGCAAGTCATGAAATTTCTAATGTTTTGTTCGGCGGCGACTACGCAGCGTTTGGATTGCCATTTGATGGATTGTCCCGAGAGCTCTGCCTACTTTAAAAATAGTGCTAGGCTTGTGGCACCGATCGCCGTATATCCTGAGTGTGGGAGGGGGCCGCGTGCTGCGTTTGCTGCTAGAGTGAGAGCGATGCGCCCTTACAATGTGTTAGCACACCATAGCGAAAGATATATTTGTGAGCAGTGTGGGAATCGATTTATTTGCTACTCACTGTCATGCAAGTCAGGAGACTGTTCTTGAGCGAGTACTTATTTTTTATTTAGCTTAGACTGGCAGCGAGCTTTCCACTCAGCTGATTTTATGTGAAGTATTTTTGTAGCCTTGTAATCTCTATGTGTTTATGTGTGTCTTCATCAATGCATTTTTTGGTGGTTGAGACAGGCCATGAACATTTGTATTGAATTAGTCTTAATTGCAGACAAGGTTAGCGGCTAGGTATGTCATGTCTGTAGAGGGTGATTTAAAGAAGTGTAGAGGATTTATGAATAAGAATATGTTGCATTTAGAACAACTAAGGTAGTGAGCTATGAGAAAATGTGAGAGGGAGAAGAGTTGAGGCTGGGAGCGTGCTTGGGCAGAAAAGCGAAGTCTGAAGGAGAGCGAAATGTGCAATTGGTACTGTAAATGGAATGACAGTGTAGAGAAGGGGAATAGGATAAGTAGCAGCGATAGATGGGAGCGAGGAATGAAAATTATTAAGTATGCGGCCAATTCTGCCTCCTTCTTGATTGGGGTTAACTTCCTGCTGATTACTATCTGTTGCCAGGAGATAAAATTTGATTATACTAGCCAATTAGCAGCTTATGGCATCACTCAATCTTCGTCTGCAGTGCTGATTCGTGTTCGAGTGGTGGGATCGTTGAGCATTGGCATAAACGGTTATCTTGCCCAAGATATTGTTTTTCATGACTGCGGGGTAATTTCGACAGTTTTATACGCCTGCCTACTGTGATACAATCGAGTGTCGCCACCACAAACTGTGTGGGCCTATTGCATGGTGCTGTTGACTTCTTTTATGGCATAAGAATATTTGAATCTTGATAGCACCAGTCACTCATTTTGTCTAATAGTTTTACTGTATCGTTGTCGAGTTTGATATGCATATAAATTCTTTTGACAAAATAATTTACCATACTTGTGTTCTATATCAGTGTTTCATGTATGGTAAACATGATATACGTAGGTATGTATATGGAGAACATATTTTATCTTGTTGAACCTTTCAGAACACTTGATTTGATATCTCCACAGTTATGTGACTAGACGATAGTATGCCGGTTTTGAAACTCAGTACATACATTAGTTTGTTTTCATTGCCGAGCGTCTGCAAATAGGAATGGGTTTCTGACCTGTTCCTTTTTAAAATGAATGAAAATAGGAAACTGGGTTTCTGATGCGTTTACTCATTTTAAAGTCTAAATAGGAAATGCGTTAAAAGGACAAGGGTGGGTAAGGTGCGTGTACCGCGGTACGTGCGGTGGTCGTGTATCTGAAATTGTGTACCGCGTGCCTGCGCGTGCACGTGGTGTACGCGTCGATGGTCGCTGCGTGTACGTAGCGTGTATCTCCTGATGCAGTCCAAGCTGGGTACCACGCCATGTGCACCGGCTGGAACGCGCGGTAACAACGGGTACACCGCACGTGCACGCGGGGTCATCGGGTAGCACGCGGATACACGCACGCGTACACGCTGTAACGCACCGGTAAACAACGGATACCGCGGGTACCGCAGGACGCACGTACACGCACGTACCCCCTTCTCATTTTCCTTTTCCCATTTCCTATTTAGACTTTTAAATTAGGAAACGGGTCAGAAACCCATTTCCCATTTCCTATTTAGACTTATAATAGGAAACGGATCAGAAACCCATTTCCTATTTTCATTTTAAAAATAGGAAATAGGTCAGAAACCCATTTCCTATTTGCAACGTCAAATGGGAAAACAAACTAACGGTATGTACTGTGATTTAGAACATCGAGGTTATTATTTCACAAGGGCAGCAATGAAGCTTTTGAGCTGATCGTCATCTTTAACTCCAATAAAGGTTTCCTGTATCTCCCCGTCTTTCATGCCTATCACGGTCGGTACTGACTGGACGCCGTACTCCATTGCCAGCTCTGAGTTCGTGTCGACGTTTACTTTGGCCAGTATCACTTTGCCATCTTCCTTGCCAACCATCTTCTCGATTCGTGGACCGAGGATCTTGCAGGGTCCGCACCAATCTGCGTAGAAGTCTATCAGTACAGGGATCTTGCTGTTGATCACTTTCTCTTTGAAGTCGGCCTCGTCTTGAATGGTGACGATAGATAAACGTGGAAACGAAGTGCTGACGGATCGTACTCCAGTTGTGGATTGGATCGGAAACTGGCTGCAGTTCAACACAGGCGCCGGTCTGATTGCAATACGTTGGCCAATAGGTCTTGATACTTGGCAAAGTACCCGAACTGCCTGTCGAAGTGCCATTGCTTCTCTGGTTCGTGTCAATTTCTAGGCAGTAAGTACACTGAAAATAAGCAGCAACTATCATAGTACCTAATATTTACTAGTACATAATTAGAGGTGCACCGGATCCAACTTTTTAAGTTCCGGCCGGCACATGAACCAGCCGGAACTTAAAAAAAGTCCCGGCCGGAACTATACCTGGCCAGAACCGGAACTTAAGCTGGGAATAAACTTGACAGTTTTGGCCCAGTATTGCGCAAACTCACTCGGCCTGAACGAAATATTATTAGCAGGCCCATCACTCAGGCGAGTAGGAGAATGCTCAAAGTTCTAATTACAGGTTTTGAATGGTTATAAGCCCTATAATTAGGTGTATGAATCAGCTGCTTACAGTGCATAATTCTGGCATCTTATTCGCGAGCGAATTTTGTGGCAAAACCTGCATGTTGCAGTATCCCTGGTTTTATCCAATTATTTCCAACAGATGCCATTCCTGTGGCTCTAAGAGTATTTGATTTTAAAAGAAAATCTCGTGAATCACCTAACATCAGCTAGGTTCAGTTAGTTAGCCGATGTTCAAGTGGCAAGCGTTTTTTGGGCGGAATAGTGTGAAGTTGTTAACACTATATTGTCAGCAAGTTGACTTTATTGACTCTCAACTACATTCAGTGACTGATCTTTTGATCTTGACGCGATGCGGCCATGATGCCGAGGCGCGCCGAGGATTGACACTTTGTGTCTTCCAATCACAGCCTATGCCGCACCAGACTTTGATATTTTTAAATATGGGGACCCATTGGACCACCAAATCACCGATCTCAGGAACTAGGGCATTCTGCTATGTTAGAACGGTTTCCTACGATAGAGTTTGCCACAAATACGAAAATAACACGCTGTTTAGCGCACTGCGCTACGTCCTTCTGTTGCATTTTCGCATCTCCGTAATCAGAATAAGCCCCGCCTTCTTCGTTGATGGACATGAATGGGGCGTCACCGACGTGACCAGTTACTGTACCTACTGTCTTTCGCCAACCTGTTTACTTCTCGTAAATAATGAAATGCCCGGCCGATGCATTTCGCATCGAAGTGGAAAATTTTTCGGCATTTTTACTCGCTGTCGGAAGTGAACGAGTGAGTCATTCATTGAACATTGAAGTTTTTCTTCAAATTAAATAATTCCGAAAATCCCTAACCGTGCTACTCGATTGTTTTAGCCAATGAACGTAGCTGTGTGTGTGACGTCTTGCCCGCGCGCTTTATGCTTGGCTTAGCGGGCCTCGAAATGGATATTGGAGGCAGGCACCTCGCAACACGCGTGTTTGTTTACATTATATAGCTTTGTGACGTACGGTGTTCGGGAGTTCTGTGATGATAACCTCGTAATTTCTCAGCATTTCTTAAAGTACATGGAACATTTAACAATTTAGTGGTGTCAGTTAGTCACGGATATGTCACAGTAAGTACTAACCGTATATGTTTCACATACGTTCACCATTTTGCACACAGGCGGTCGATCATTGTGAAAAATTGTGTGAATATTTATTTTTATTGAGACGTTCTAAGTGCCTGTGCTTTCAACAGTCTTGTACGTCAATGCACGTGCGTCAAGAGCCACAAACTCAACACAATTTCATCTCTGTTATTGTTGACGCCTGAATGCGTGATTGATCAGGGAGAGGGTGCATGTAAGAGGGAGACATTTTCTTTGGGGTTCCGAAAAACACAATTCCACTTGACAATTTCATGGGCCATTTCAATTGGAAGCTCTGCATAATGGACCCCCAACAAGCCCTTTGACTGACTAGTCAAGAAATTTAAAGGTGTGTATATTGCTCTTATTTAGCTGCTGATAGTTTTTTATCGCTTATTTAGTCTTTAGAACAAAGTCTTCATTGTTATCTTCTAAAACTACAGACCATCCGCTGACTGCTGTGGAGACGTGCGCCGGGCCTCGAATTTGGCGCACGTCTCAACTGCGGACAGCGCTTCATACTTGAACATCCCCGCGGTCGCGTGCGCATATCCCGCGGAATTGCGCGTCTCATCCGCGCGCAGCGCTCGGCCAAAGCTAGCAAAGCTGTGCCATGCAATCTTGTATCATGTCTCTCTGGATGACGCTTGTAGGCCTAGCAGAAATGAAATTAAGAAAAAGTTCCGGTTCCGGCCGACTGTTTCTGAAGGGTTCCGGCCAGAACCGGAACTCTGAAAAATTAGGGATCCGGCCGGATCCAAGTTCCAGTGCACCCTTATACATAATTATACATACTACTCACTGTAGATACATACATACATACGGTAAACATCAGGTTTAGCGTCGTAAATTAACTTGCAAATGTCACCGCCAGATGGCGCTATGCGGAGGAGGGAGAATAGAGCTGGTGATGGAGGAGGGGGAGAAGGGAGAAGCTGGTAGAGAAGGAGGAGGGGGAGAAGGGAGAAGCTGGTGGAGGAGGAGGAGGGGGAGAAGGGAGAAGCTGGTAGAGAAGGAGGAGGGAGGTGCGAGCACAGAGATATGCGAGTGCGGGGAGGAAGGGGAAACTGGTGGAAGAAGGAGAAGGGGAGAACGGGAGCTGGTGAGGAGGCGGGAACTACGAGATGGGCTGACGATGTCCACTGATAGCGCCCAGAGAACGCGCGATAGACTGGCGTAGCGCCATCTGGCGGTGGCGTTTGCAAGTTAATTTACGACGCTAAACCTGATGTTTACCCATACATACTAGTAATAGTAGTATTAGTACTTAGTAGTAGCGACAATTCTCATTCAGGTGGATATGCATAATGCAGCCTGCACGGAACTGCATGTGTACCTATAAGTACCCAACAGTAAGAAATTGTTATGATTATGATCAATGTAAACGCCACGAAAGTAGGCCCCTATATTATATATAAAAATTGTAAAACTGAAATCTGCCTGTAAACTGAATACGCTCTAGTACTGATAGCCCGCGTACAGTTGCCGGCTGGCCAGTGGCAACTGTTACGGCGGCTTATAGTACTAAGCTATGAAACTTGAGAGATGTAAAACTTTAGTCTTAGCATAATGCCAGGCCCGAGCCAGCTTTCTAATTGGGGGGGGGTCGTTTTTCAATATTGGCAATCGTTGCCGGCAGGGCGTGTACGATTTGACCAGGGATGGGTCCTAAACGCGTAACCGCAAAGTTGCGAGCGAGCCGAGGCGAAGGGAGGTCGGGGGGGCCACCTCGCCCAGAATTTTTTCAAATTAAGACCCCTTCAGATGCGTTTCTGCGCTGAGCAAGGGGCCTGAGGTGAAATCTGCAAATTTTTCAAAAAAACTAAAATTTTTTTGCTTGGGGGAGGCTCGGGGGGGGGAGGTTCGTTCGAACCCCCCGAACCCCACCTGGCTACGGGCCTGCATATGCATACTATTTTAGCTACGCCTGTTACTAGTTCAGAATCACACTGAACGATGCTCGATATTTGTATCTAATTCCGCACATACCGTTTGTTGCCGATGTGTCAACAGAAATAAGTCAAAAGTCAAAATTCCAGTACTGTCGTACACAATTTCAAGTTCAGTTTCTTGCCATTTTATCCAGTTACATTTACTAGCGCCACCTCCCGAATAGTTTTCAAACTAATACAACAGAATGAGAATTTTCTGTCCACAGTCTTCATAGTTTTATGTAGTAGGCCTATGTATTTGTCTATGTCATAATACATATTGTTCAAACGTTTAGAATATGAACACATTAACATTATATGATCGCACACAAATTTAAAATTGTATTTTTAAGGCTGCTACGGGTTCTGGAGCCCTACCCGTTTGCGGGTAATGATTTCTTATTTCTATGTAGTAACACCATATTTGGTATCCACACCACTGAGCTGCATCAAGTACTTTACTCTTTAGCTGTTTGAATAATAAAATGATTGCACATAAACACAATTACCAAAGTCTTCATGTTTGTATATTTTAGGCAACGCACATGCAGTCTGGGTCTCACTCTCCGTGACACAGCATGTACACAGCAAGCACGATAATTGTGCACAAACTGAAAGAAAGATAGAATAAATTATGTTAGCTTAGGCTGTGGAGTGTGTGCGGTGACATTATGATGTGTTGCATATAATTATAAGGGCTGAGAACAGAATATACATTTTTTCACGCAGGCACATGTATGCGATCATGCGATGATGCGTCTGCGTTTCCGATGAAGTCATCCTGCGCCTAGTGCTGCCACATGGTGAGAGAATCTTTAACCATGAGTTGATAGACGTGTTTCATCGTTTGTGCTTTTCATCTCTTTCAGTTTCATGACCTTTTCGATAATTATTGACGAGCTGTTCGAAAAGGGAACATTGTCTACAGTCAAAGTTTGTGTGCATCATTTGTTAACGCTGCCTGTTATTTAAAATATGAGCCATATTTGGTTGAGGCAACTTGGGCTTAGATTTGGCGTTAAAAATCTATGTCGTAGGCCCAGTCAAGCGAGTGATCGTTTTCAGGGGAGTTCATACTCCCGGCAAGTTTTAAACAAGTCGCAGTCAGACTATTTGTTCGCATTATATTTTAGTAATTTTTCTTCGTCGCCTGGAGCTTCTCGTTGGCACTGGCAGCTAAATCTTGCTAATTCTAAATATACGAGCGAAGTAAAGCTCCGCTGTCCAAACAAAGTTGGTTTCTGCTCTACTACGTCGTCAAAACCAGATGAAATTACCGAAGTTGAATACGAACAGGTGGCAGAACGCTCGCTTCTTTCATTAGCTGATTTTTTCGATGAGTTGGTTGACATAACAAATTGCCCCAAAGATTATGATGTCAATTACAACAGTAGCGTGTTAAAAGTTCAACTCGGTGGTGGCCGTGGGACGTATGTGTTCAACAAACAAACTCCGAATCGTCAGCTGTGGCTGTCCTCTCCGCTGAGTGGCCCCAAGCGTTACGATTTGCTGGACGGAGTTTGGGTGTACCTCCACGATAATGTCCCACTCCATGACCTCCTGAGCGCAGAAATATCTGCAGTATTCAAAACCGAAATATCTTTATCGTCACAACCTCCGCAGTAGGTCCGTACGTGTGATAGTTATGCTTACAGCGATGCTAACTGGACGTCTATTCGAACAATTATGCGGACACAAACGTATTTCAAGTAGAGGTGTCGAACACTACACAACACGGCAACAATGAGTACTGCCAACGCAAAGGTTGACAGCGTTCAAAGCTGCGAACAGCTTCAGAACATCTTGATTCGTCTGCCGGTCGTTACAGACGTGATTCTCGCCTTTCTGCCCGCGAGAGCTCTCAACACCGCTGCGCAAGTTTGCACGGCGTGGGCGGACAGCGCTCGTCGCGTGAGGAGACGCCGGCGCCACCACGCGTCTTTTTTCCTCGGTCAAGTGCGCACGGAATCTGTGTCGTCGGATCTTCACGCGGCGTTCGCCGACTTTCGTTACGACTTTCTGGACTCGCTGTCCTGCGAACCGAAGCACGTGCTCGTGTTTAGCACGCCTGATCTGATCGAGGGAAAGGGTGCGTTGTACCCACCCCTTCGACCCGGCGCTGACGGTCGAACGCACGCTAGGCGGAAAAGGGAGTGTTTTGTGAATTACGTTGACAGGCTACTGCCACGCAGCACCAGAGTGCTGGGCATTGCTGCGAGCGGCATCATCGGCACAGATCATCGAGATCTCAAGACTTTTGAATTCGAAGAAGACAGTGCCTTCTCGTGCCTGTGTTTACCGACTATTCCAGGCCTTCAGGTAATAAATATAAAGAAAAGTGTGTGTCGGCATGCGTGCGTGCGTGTCCGCAGGTGTGTGTGTACCCTTTGTCAGGGGGTAACAAAAACCCACGGTCTATCATGGTGCGTGCGTGCGTGCGTGTCCGCAGGTGTGTGTGTACCCTTTGTCAGGGGGTAACAAAAACCCACGGTCTATCATGGCATTTCATCCTGTCTTTTTCATCAGATGCTGAACAGAAACTACTGTCTTATATTTTAATGCAACTATGGAGCAGCAAACTGCAGTCCTGTCCATAACGATTATACGATTAGTCGTCTATCAACTGATTTTCATATCTTTTTGAGCTAGTTTCGTACGTCGAATGAAATGTTCTGCACTAATCTGTGCGCTCGACGACATTATCCTTTCAGGTGCATTATCTACACTTGCACTCGGACGTAGAGACAATGTTCTCGCGTAGACCCTCGTGGCTCACCTCGGACCCCGACATCAAGTGCCTCCTCGTGTTCCACGACAGCGACGAGGAAGAGGACATCAACATCATCTCGAAGAGCATGCGCGGCGACCTCTGGTGGCGGCTCGGCGGAAACGTCGTCGTGGCGGGCGGGCACGTAGACTGCCTCCACGCCCCGCGCGGCGATCCCGCCTCCGCCGCCGCCAGGGAGGAGGAGGACAGGCAGTGTAACTTGATGGTGGTGGGGATCTCCGGCGCGAACGTACACGCGGCCAGCGTCGTTGTCCCCGCGAGCGCGCAGACCCCCGCCGCGGCCGAGGCGGCTGTCGCGAGGCTGAAGCGGGCGGCCGTTGTTCCCGACGCGCGTTGTTCGTTTGCGTTCATGTTCGCGTGTGTTGGCCGCGGTTCCTACATGTTCCGCGATCGCGACGTCGAGTCTGCCGCCTTCCGGAAGCACTTTCCGAACGTTCCGCTGGTTGGGTTCTTCGGCAATGGCGAGATTGGACACGAGCATCTCGGTGTGAGCGGTGACGGAGACGCGCCTCGGCTGCCGAGGTTGGACCACACGTATTCGACCATCTTTGTGCTGGTGTCGGTCGAAAACCAATGAAGCTGGTTGTGTAATAGAAGGGAGTCCATAATAGAAAATTCTATCTTTCATTTTTAGATTGCCATGGGGTGTCGTTCGTCGTACGTCCGTCAACATTTGGCTACGGTCAACGATAACTCAAGAACCGTTTGACCCACATGTTTCAAATTGCAAATAGTTGTTACTCCTATGGGAGAGGTTTGAACGTCCTATTTTGGAGCACGCCAGTCGACCTACATTCGACTTTTGAGCCATGTCCACTTTTTGGCAAAAATGGAAATGGCCATAAGTCAGTTCAGGTTCAACGGATTTTGCTCATTTATGGTATGTGAATGAATGAGAACTGGCCCCAAAACATATCACACAGGTTTTGATTTTGATTTTAAATTATGGAAATGAGTTAGATTTTGGCAATTTCACTATGCATTTCAGTGTCTGCCTATGGTAAACCATAACTCAAGAACCGTTTGAACCACATGTTTCAAATTTCATGCAGTTGTTACTCCTATGGGAGAGGTTTGAACGTCCTATTTTGGAGCACGCCAGTCGACCTACTTTCGAGCCACGTCCACTTTTTGGCAAAAATGGAAATGGCCATAAGTTAATTCAGGTTCAACGGATTTTGCTCATTTCTAGTATGTGAATGAATAAGGACTGGCCCCAAAACATATCACACGGATTTTATTTTATTTTTTTAATTATTCAAATTAGGTAGATTTTGGCAATTTCACCATGCATTTCAGTGTCTGCCTACGGTCAACGATAACTCAAGAACCGTTTGACCCACATGTTTCAAATTGAATACAGTTGTTACTCCTATGGGAGAGATTTGAACTTCCTATTTTGGAGCACACCAGTCGACCTACTTTCGAGCCACGCCCACTTTTTGGCAAAAATGAAAATGGCTATCATAATTTATTCGATTTTGTTAAATTTTGGTATGTGAATGTGTAAGGCTAGCCCCAAAACAGTTGTTACTGCTATGGGAGAGATGACAACGTCCTATTACGTTTATTTCGTCTAACTGGTCAACAACTCTACAATCATACCTATATACATGTAATATTGTGTTTTAGATTCTTCGTTACAGTAATTTGACTGGAATATTTTATTGTTTTTATTTGCGCGATATTCGAAAACCATCTCTCGTCAAGATTTCAGACTTTCAGATCTGAAACATTTATTTTCGCATCAAAACTTATGCATATATATCATTATCAAGAGTATATAATGGGAGATATGCTATATAATGGGAGATATGCTATATAATGGGAGATATGCTATATAATGGGAGTTTGCCCATATATACTCTTGCTTTATATATCCCCCCTCCCTCTTCTATCACACCCAAGGTGAGCTACAGTGTCATTGACACTTTCATCTATTATGGACTCTTGATAATACCCTGTATTAGAAATGTGTGTCGGTTGCTTGTCAGATTGATTAATAGAGATGGGTTTGAGTGGTAAGTGCATCTATAATAGGAGTGTACCGATGCATCAGATTATCTATTAATTACGCTGAGAGGGTCTGTGTCCCCCAGGGTACTGCAGGAACGTACCCTGGTACTATCTAATATGCCGGACCGTACCCAGGGTACTGCAGGAACGTACCCTGGTACTATCTAATATGCCGGACCGTACCTCGACTACTCCACAAACGAGTCTAGGGAGTCGCCTACGCCTACTCCCTAACCCTAACCCTAAGCATATCAGATAGTTACCAGGGTACGTTCCGGTATCAGTACCCTGGGGGACGTAGACCCTATGAGCATTAATTACCTCCGCGCAACGGAGTTGCAGGGAGGTAATGTGATCCCTCTCGTGTGATGTGTTCGTGTGTGTGTGTAGCCAGCAGCTATTGATTCAGCACCAGCTCGCCTTAGGGCGTCGAGTCAGCAGCAGCTCGCTCGCTTGCGCGCAACAATCAATATTTCAGCGATTCTACTACTACAAGCTAGAACTACTAGAAACTGCAACTAAAACTGAAACTAGAGTCAGCGAGTGGGCGGCGCGATCGATAGCGCGTCGAGTCAGCGAGTGGCGAGTCAGCAGCAGCCACCAGTGAGCGGTGAGGCAGCAGCAGGCGAGTCAGGCAGCAGCCGCCACCAGCGAGCACATATATGTTACATGCTCGCGGAGATATGCACTCTCCGTGAGTGCCCTCTGTCTAGTTACAGTAGTGATTGGCTCAATAGCAATGAATCGATTGAAGTCAAACATCAATAACTATCGTCCATAGTTCATTGAACAATCGGGTAGTTTTCGATAGCTGTGACGTTTAAACAAGAGTAGAGAATGCACCGGACCGTTACCTCAACGTAATGGGTATTACTGTGTTCAGATGTTACATAAATGCATCAGTTTTATTTCATGAACTGAGGATTGAAGGAGTGTTTTGTGATGTTGATATTTATTGTTTACTTTATCTAAACAAGGAATAGCCACAGCGCATCCTGACACGTTGGATGTAACAGTAATAAAGACGACCATCACATATACTATGAAAAGAATTTAAATAAAACCAGTGCATAGTTATTTTAAATAGCTTGATAAGTTTTGGTAAACCTCAACCACACTGTTTGTGTTCTTTCTGAAAGGGTAGAATAACACACTGTACCTTTTCTGAACCATAAATAAGAACATTGTGTGAAATTATGTCATTAACAGAAGTGCAAGTAAAATATTCTTCGATAAAACAATTATTTATTAACGTAATTCCAAAACGAGATTAATGTCGTTAACAAAATAGATAAACCCTTCCCCATAATGAAATCAAAATGTATTTACATCTTGTTACAATATCTTTGTCGAGTATTTACACGTTCAAATCAACTGATTTACAAATAATTAAAATAACAGTAGGAATACATCAATAATGAGAATTTCCACATTGCATATTATCCTCTATAGACATTCGAATCGATTCTCCAAGCTCCAATGCTGCCGAAATGTACTGAACAGTTTTTGTTTAGCTCTAGCAAAATCAATGGTGGAATGTGTGCGTGTATATATAAGATAGTAATGACTTATGAATAATCGTGTACAATATGAATAACTGGTCGATATAACATATGTGCTGATATCATATCAGCATCTATAAGTTCATATGTTCCTGATAATAATTACTGAGCACATGGATGTTAAGCTGTTTGCATCCGAAATTACAGTAAGACAAAACCGCAGACAAAGCCGTTGGTATATAGGCTTCTTGCATAGCTACCTATTTACTGTGTTTGGTTTGAGTATGTCTTTTGTGTCAAGTCACAAAAGCCCAGAACGAAACCCTTATTCAACAAGTGAAGATGTTCAACAAAAGAAATTGGGCTGGAATGTCACACATTAGATTTTAAATGAATCACACAGACAAACTCCACTGTAATTTAAATTGATGTAGGCTTGAAGACAGTTCCAAGGTAAAACATTATTCAAAGGCTTTGTCGTTGGTCATCACACAATTTGACATCGCATGTAGCTATTATGCACACAAGTGTTATTTTATTAAATACATTTATTTTGCTAGTGCCAATGAATATTCATTAATACTGCATGAAGTCATGCTTCATGCAACTGCCAGAAAAGGTGTATCACTCATTAGGTATATTATTTTAATGATCTGTGAGGTATGTGCTGTCATGACTGCACATTTATTTGTCAGTGCCTTGGTGCATTTTCTTGGAGCTTGGCAGTTACAAACAGTTCCAAGTCACTGACCTACGATCCGTTAAGTAAGGAGTTCACAGAATAAGCGTGAAGAGGGCAACGTTAAATAATCTGAAAATCGGTTTGTGACTGAATAATGAGAAGCAGCTTGTCTTACCAGAATCATCAATAGCACCACATAATCTTATAGGTCATACCGTAGTTACGTTGCTTACATGTTCCTCATTAGTGACTAGATGTGTGCCCTATTAATAGTGTCATTATAGTAAAAGCTAGGAAATCCTAGGAACACGTCTATTGTCACATTATAGACACAGTGCCCACCCCCTCACCATTACAATTAATTATGTCATCATCATTCTTTTTATTATGTGTACATTATTTAGGCACGTGTATTATATTAAATTGTGGGGAAGCTTTGTAAACCTCAATACCTGGTCATACCCTTGCTGAAAGCACACATCAGTCATCACCTCGGTCAAAATCAATCGAATATTTATGCGGATGCGGAATTTCGTTTTTTCTCCGAAAACAACATCTTTCACCAGCAGTTTGAAAAGGCGACGCGTTTCGCCAGTTTTACAAACTCGCCCGTCGTTTTTGATTACTATTATACATCCACTTTATACGTATGAGCACGAATCTCTCTGTCGCAGCTAAGCCCACAGGCACTTGGAGCGTTTTAATAAAATATAATGCTAAATAAATATGAAATCTATTTACTACCAGTCTTAATGTTTCTATACTCTCTTTCACCTATTATTGCCGACAATTTTCTGCAAATGCCATCCAAATGCTCATCTGCAACAAATGCTGGCTCCCGCCATGGCTGCCGCTGCACACTTACACATAAATATATAGTTATATATATAGTATAACTATATATTTATGTGTCAGTGTGCAGCGGCAACCAGCATTTGTTGCAGATGAGCATTTGGACGGCATTTGCAGGAAATTGTCGGCAATAATAGGTGAAAGAGAGTATAGAAAAACATTAAGACTTTGGTAGTAAATAGATTTCGTATATTTATTTAGCATTATATTTTATTGAAACGCTCCAAGTGCCAGTGGCTAAGCCGATTAATACCAAATCTCATTACGCAGTACGGCAGCTCCCCCTGGTGGCAAAATGAAGAAGTTACGAGGCGAAGCAGTAGATAATGAGCACGTGCAGCGACAGGAAGTAGAGCAGGAAGAGTCCTCTCAGCGCCGGCCGCGCTCTCACTCGCCGCGACGCATAGCGTCTGCAAGGTAACGAGAATCAGCACGTCAGCTAGTAAATAACGCTAATAAATGTGCTAGTTATTATTTTCTAGAACCGAGTAGTGATGAGGAGGGTCTGGTGAACCGGTGATACCAGGGTTCTCCAAGAGCACTTATAGCCTGGCGGCCCGCCAGGCTATCGTCGAGCCCCGCCATCCTAAAATGCACCCGCCATTCTAAATATCATAGCTGCCATGCTAAAATTAGCTAAAAAATGCTAAAACTATGACCGAAAAGGCAGCCCCGCCATGCTATAATGAAAAAGCTAGGAGAACCCTGGATAAGCGTGATAATAAGTGAGAGAATTCCACTCACTACATGCAATAATAATAATAATAATAATGATAATAATAAGAATAAAAAGCAAAATTCTGGATTGAATCCCTATGTCCCAGCTTGGATTCATGGCCAACCCAGAAGTCGCCGGCTAATGCCGTGATCCACTTTGGAAATAATAATAATAATAATAATAATAATTTATATAATCATTTACATAATAGTAATACAGTACTCACAATCTAGTTTGTACCATTCTGTAGAGCCGGTGACACGTGCTGGTGGCATCTCTCGTGAGTGTACCATAAGCAACTATCCTTTCCTCATCTTCCATCAGGGAAACCTTCACCTATAGTAAGAACAGACACGTACATGTGTGCATATAATATGTAGCGTAGTATACACACATACGTAGTAGTATGTATAGTAGTTGTATACGTGTGCATGTAGTATGCCTGTATGTGCTTAAGGGACCTGCACTGTGCATGATGCAGTGTAGGCCTACAGTGTATTCAGCCTCATCAAGACAAATACAGAGTGTCACTTTGCTCCCCATGGTTTTGGAACCCCATGTTAGGGCTACAGCCTACACACCCCACTGCGTTGCATAAACGTGTAACAAGTTCCTAAATCATTTCGTTTAAGAAGGCTGTGCATAAACTGTGTCGCTTCATTCCCTTGAAATATGAAGATTCATTGAACAAGATTTATTTCCCTTGAACAATATATTATGCGAATATACTGAAATCACCAGTGGGAATGCGTGCACACGAGCATTTGTACGAGCTCACGTCGTTAGCACTTGTTTCTGTTCTTACCTCGTCGCTACGCGCGTACGTGCTCTGCAGGTACTTGACTTGCTCTCTGAGGTACTGGGCTTCCTCTTCTAACTGCACACGCCGCTCTTTCTCAGACACCAACGACTGCCGATCCTGTGCCAAGGTCCGTTCAAGGCTGTCGACGCTCGCGTTTTTCTCACCAAGTTGCTGCTCCGAAGTGTCCAACCTATGTAATTGTAACAAGCAAAATATCATACTATTATTATCATCATCATCACCATAATCATCATTATCATCATCACTGTCGTCGTCGTCGTCGTCGTCGTCGTCGTCGTCGTCGTCGTCGTCGTCGTCATCATCATCTTCATCACCATCAGGAGTAAATAATCTCAAATCAATGAAACAATAAAAAATATTGAAATCAAATTGAAATTAAATGTGAAAATATTTACCCGTGTCATAATTATTACAACGTGGCGCAGCACATTCATATTTCCTCTTTAGTGTGTCTACATCAATCGTTATAATATACCCTTATGGATAATAAGGGTATACCCAAACGGGGTATATATCCCTTAATATACCCAAACGGATGCATGTTATGCATATAACACATCTAGTGCGAGAACAATACGGGTACGTGCCTGCATTGTAGTTCGGCATGGATGTTTTTAGGCACTCCCTGCACAAGGTTAGACTCTGCTATAGCAGGCTTCTGCTCAATCTGTTCCAAACCAGGACGAGTTTCTTCGAGCTTCGTTTTCTCCTCCTAGAAATAGGCACAAATCTAATGTAGGTACAGTAAACTCTCCAAATTTCCAACGTCACCGAATCTATCAATAAACCGGACAGTTTTCTCAGTACCAACACTGAGACATGTACAAGTCTAGCCCCCCTACAAACTTCACTTCACAGAAAACCCAACTAAATGGACGGTCCCAAAGGTGGTTGATGTTGGAAGAGTTGACTGCAGTGACCCTGACTGATTGACTGCAGTGGCACGAATGATTACACAAAACACGAGCATAATAATCGACGCTGTGATCTAGCCAACATTCGAAATGATGACAAGCCTTATTGATGTACGTTCGTAATTATGACAGAAAGGCAGTCCATCCCCTCACAGCTTGGGAGGCTGAGACTACGTACCAGCAGTGAACGATAGTGCGTCTGCAGCGTTGCTATGGCAACGTCGCGCTGCTGCAGCGCCTGGTAATACTGCTGCAGCTGCTTGTCGCGCAACTGGAGAGCCTCGTTCGCCACCGCCAGGTGGCGCTGTGCGGTCGCCTTCTCCTGCTCCACCTCCTTCAACTGCGCACTGACGTGCTGTACTTGCAGCGCTAGTTTTTTTCGCTCTGCGTCTGCATGCTGCGTGGAAGACTGTAGACCTTGTGACGTCTATAGCAAATGACAATTAAAATTAAAATTAAAATTAAAAACTGACAAAGCTCACTGCAGCAACGAGAGCTTTAGATTGTGCAGAAGAGTACTGATAAATTGCTGGTTACTTGCTACCAATTTAGAAAATATAGATTAATTAATTAATTAGATAAATTGCTGGTAATTCGTCACCAATTTAGAAAACAGATAGGGGTTTTCACTTTTTCCCATATATGAATTTAAAGCGAGCCCCCAACCAGCCCAGCCCCTGCATGCTATTTGATACACTATAATGCACGTATCATGGCCGCATGTGGGGCGGACCATGCCGCATCAGGGTACACACTAACGTGAAGCTAAATACACAGTGGGCATCTGGGATACGTAGCACGCTGCAGCATGTTCGATTCGAAACTTCGACTCGAACGAAACTCGGACCTCATCGCTTCGGGGCGGAGGCTCCGTCTATCTTTCAGCAGAGTTGCTCTAGCTGACTCCGCACACCCCTCATGCATCCCAGTAGTACTGCGATAGTCACGTTAAATCACACGGATCGACGTGCAATCATCCTCATGCAAAATTCTCGTCTCCAATCACTTCTGTCCTCACCTTTGCGTTTGCGCTCTGCTGCTCCTGTAGGGAAGCCTGAAGCTGCTGAAGCTGAGCATCTCTCTCGCGAAGCTGAGCATCTCGCTCGCGAAGCTGGCTGTTGACGCTCGCCAGCCGCTCCGCGACGCCGGCGCCCTCACTTTCGCGCCGCCGCAGCAGAGCCGTCGTCTGCTCGTGACCTACGCAGACCGAGGACAGGACTATTAGATACAAAAATACAAAGATGGAGGGCAGCATTGGAGAGTGTATGGAGAGGGAGAGAGAGAGAGAGAGAGAGAGAGAGAGAGAGAGAGAGAGAGAGAGAGAGAGAGAGAGAGAGAGAGAG